AGGCATATTTCTCACTTTTATGATGTTTACTGGCCACGCCCCCTCGCCCACTGGTTTTTTTGTTGTGACCTTTCACCCCTATTACAGCCAGCAGGACATCGTTTTTTATTCACCATTTCGCCTTTCTATATTTTTTTTTTAATTTTGAATTTCGAATGGAAATTTACATAATTTATGGGCAGCATCAAAAGTCACACACAGATACGTATCCGAAATCCGGCGTTTTTGAAAAGGGGGTGGCGATCCAAAGCATATGCCGGAATGAAGTTTTTTTCATTAAAAATTTGTTTATAATTTACGATTTTTTAAGTCGCGCAACTGAGCAAATGGGACGCAAATTATTGTTGGTTCCATTTTTTTGGGTTGTTTTTTTTTTGCTTCTTGATTTGGTCCGACTGCCTCATTAAGAGCTCATTAAAAAGATTGCGCGATTTATTCTTGAGCATTTTAACACGTTTTTAATTTTAATGCATTTTATGGCCCCTTAACGAAATCTTCCGTCACAGTTCAAACCATCATCATCATCATAGTGAGGGGCATCATCACTGGATTTTACCGCGGGCCAACTTTCACTTGTTGACTGTGAATTCTACGTTCCTGCCCCTGAAAATCCTCCTGAAAATCCTCGTCAACGTCACCGCACATCAGCACGTCAAACTTCATTAGGAAAACGGAAAAGTGGTGAGCATGGTTTTTCCGAGAGGGTGGCTTTCCCCTCGCCTTTCACTGCGGTGCCTTCATTGTTTTTACGGGCTGCGCTAATTAGTTACGAAGTCATAGAATTTTACAGGAATTGCTCTTGATGATTGTCATGCTGTTGTCATCCCTATTCCTTGACTTTTCCCTCACTTGATGCAGTCATCATTTGTGGTTTTCCCTGGGTGTGGGTTTCAAGTCTCAAGAGGAGCAATAAGTTTGAAAACGCATTTTGAAGAAAAAATCACCTAAAGGTTTCAGGAATTTTAAAACTTTTTTAAATATTTTAAGTTTTAAAAATAAATTACTCTTAATGGTAAGTATAATATAAAAATAGTAAAAATATTTTGTTATAACTTGAAAGGCTATTAAAAATATATACTAAAAGTTTTCATATTCCCACTATTGAAGGAAGATTTAGGATTTGAAAGGCGCAAATACTAGCTACCCAGAAATTTGTGTTAAATCCCACCACAAATTAATCAGAAACCAAAACCAGACTGACCACTTGACCAACATATAAGTCAGAGCCAAGCAAATCCCTACTAAGTAGAAACCAAGACCGAAGCCAATTACAAGAAAACCCATTTGACAAAGTGAAAGTCCAGAAGTTGCAAGAGTAGGATGTTGGCAGGTCCATAAATTTGCGGGCACACGGACATAATTATGCAGACAGGCGGTCTCAAAGGGTTAAGGAATGGTTCGGGGTAACTCCACGGGCTTGTAAATTAAAAATACCACGCCCCGCCGTGATAAATCAAAGTCAGTGGGCTTTGTATTGGATTTGCCGAAAGGAATTTGTAGACATTAAGAAAGTCCAACTCCGAATTCTTCGCCAAGCCCTTCCTGTTGCTTCCGTTGGCATTTGAATAAAGTTGGACCTTGTTTGGGGAAAAGTGTCGCTGACATGTTAAGACTTCTTCCAGATTTATGGCCCCAGCCTAAAGATCCCTTGGCGAGGGTGAAAAGTCCCTGTTCAGGGCCAATTTAAAAATTGAATTTCAAAACTTACCACTTGGTTCCCTGCTAATCATGTTTCAAATTGGCCAACACATGTGCGTGCCGTTCTTAGATCTCTCTTATCGATGCGAAAATTTTGACACATGCCACATCACACTGGATTCACCATTGTCTCCGCGTTTTTCCTGAAGGTCCTAATGCGATTATTTGCTGTGTTTTTGCCCCAAAAATCGGTCAGAGGCGGGCCATTTGCCAGCAGCTCTGATTAAATTGGATTGCAGATGCTCATAACCGTCACACATGGCACAGGACCTTCTACGGCCTTTTTATCTCTGGTGTGTCAACACCGAACCACCCAAAAAAACAAGGGACAAAAAACCTGAAAACAACCAAATAAAAGGGAAACAAGGAATGGAAAATGAATGGAAATTTTAAATACCCTTTAAAGTGGGGAAACTGCTAATATTGTGACATTGGATTGTTCGAACAATATACATTTTATATTGAGATAATGTAAAATAAGTTTTTATAGTTTCAGAGGTTTATTATTTATAAAAGGGTTTTAATTTGTTGTATATAGTTTTAATGGGCAAAAAAAAAGAAAATAGAAGAAGGAATGGTGAGATACCTAAGACGTTTAGAAAAGTTTAGATTATGAAATGATTTTGTTTCCTTTAAAACTATCTTTACATAGTGCTGTCTAACGGTTAAATCTCAATTATATTCATATTGATCGTTCGTATTTTGTAATGCCGTTTTATAAGAACCCATAATAACAAAACAGAAACATTTATCATTGTCCTTGGTTCATCTCAAAACTATTATCCCCTTTCAAACAGAGTAGAACACAACAAATTCAGGACAGTTTTTCAATAAACCCATCAAAAGGTACTAGTGCTGACGCTTTGAACCCTCACCCATGTAAGTTACCCCCTCCCAAAAATTTCCACTGCCGATGCCCTCTGGCCAAAATCATTGTAAACGCAATTTGATTTATGGACAATGTGGAAATTGAAAATTGTCGCATGGTCACTTTAATTTGAGAGTTATGCGACTTTAAACAAAGTTATTTGGGGGATGTCCCTTGCTGATGATGCGGCAGGAAGTGAATTATGTCAAGGCTCATTGTGAGGTTATGTAGCGATGACACGAGTACAGTCCCGCCCCCAGAAAACTATGGTTCAATGAGGACAACTGTACTTGAGCCTGGTTGCGTGTGAAAACAGGATGTGGCACGCGTCGCTTGTTAACCGCTCGCTGTTGCAAGTTAAAGAGCAATTTTGGATGGGACAGGGGTGACCAGTCACCCTCTTTGTCTTATTTTTTTAGGGGTTGGGGTTTATATTTGATGTTTCCTATTCAGTGTTTACCGCTAGCTGCTGAAGTGCCTCAATGGTTTAGTGTCAGCTTATAGTTTTGACATTTGTCGCCGGTCTAAAGCTGATTGCAGATGAATATCGGAAGTGAAAGTTCTGGCCAAGAGTACGATGGATGTCCTGATACTCACTTGCGATCTGCTGAAGTGTGAAATATGTCATTGAGTAGCCTCTGTCCACTTTAGAGCTAACTATTATCTTAAGCCTTTTTGGATTCACAATTTTGTTGTCCCTTTTTAGTCTGAGAGATTAAATACTTTATACTTTGATCCTTGGTAATAGAAAAAGGCCTAAATACGAAAAAAATATCTAAATTTAAATATGAAAAAAATAATAATTAAAAAAAACATTAACAACCTTTCGTCAGAATAAACAAACCCATTCACAAACTTTCGTTAGAATAAACAGCCAATTAAATAAATTATTTACACGTATAGTGAACAATATTTTCTAAGTTATTGTCTTTCCAATTTTAAATATTATGTTTGAGTTATAAATCACAGAAATTAAATTTCATATTTTTGCGAACAAATTTAGTAAGAAATAAATAAATGGTATGTAGATTAGGTGCTTGATAATTGTCAATAAAATTTAAGATTACTGAAAGCACTGATTCATTTCACAGACAGTGATGGATGTCCAGTTCGTATTCCCCATTCGATGAAGTGTGAAATCCACCACAAGTGTTCACTATTCACTCTACTGAAATTCCTCGAGGGCATTTGAACCCTTTTGTTCATTTTTCTGGGGGTGCTTGACAAAGTTTCACTTATTCTGCAATTATTGGAAATATTTTCGAGTTTTAATTGAAATACTGGTGGCTCTGTCCCGCTGAGCTTCTGGACCACTTTCATGCATGCCTGCACCTGCTGCTATCCACAAACAAAATTGCCTCCCATCGAATAACTTTTCATGGTTATCACTACGCTCCTGTGGGGGATTTTATTTTTCATGGCTTTTCAATTTTAATTGAAATTTATGTGCCAGAACTCAAAGGATTCAGTTCACACTACCCCCTGCCAATTTTTATGGTCACGTGTACGACAAAAATAAAAAAAAAAGCAAGAGTGTTGCAAATTGTTGAAAATTTCAAAATTTACATGGACAATTCGCCGGGAGCAATGCAAAATAAAACAGAAAGGGGTGATGAGGCGGAGTCCCGTGATTTACAGCCCGCACTTACGTAATTTATGAGCCCACAGCACTTGAAAAACAAAGCCAAAAAGCGAACCGAACTGAAAGAAACAAAAGGCTGAAACACGAAAAGTGCATGCAAAACATTTTGTGGCGCCATTTTTATTGTCCTTCGGCTTGTTCATGTGTAAAATTTGAAATTGTTGTAAATAATTACCCTAATGGCTGCCGCCGCCCCATCATTGCCATGTCCTTATCCCCCGGAAAATTCAAGGACCTCGCAGTTAATTCGGAATACCCGGCACCGTCGCCATTTGTAATTAAGCCTAAACCGTTAATATTTCAGCCAGATAAGAGCAACTGCATCCCCATCTCCATGCCCAAAATGCCCATAAATTCACAGCAAAAAGTTGGTCCTTCCTCCGCACAGGATCAGGTCGAAATTGTTGGGGAAACATTTTACGGTTCGGGTGTTAATTTCCAAGCAGATTTTTTCTTATCTCAGCCTAGTGAAAGTGAAAATCCCCCGCATCCTTTGGGGCCACTTGTTTTTCTTGCCTGCATTGGCAAGAATTTAATTAGCATACCGAATCGTTAACAAGATTGGAAAGCCAGTGAGTTATGCAAAAGTTTTGCAAGTAAATATCAGGAAAAGAAGGGTTAATTTAGTAATCTAGATATAAGGATGCAAATAAAGACATAAAAAGGGGCAATCTAAATTTGCAATACACACATTGGCTAAGCTTAAAACGAAGCAATCAAAACATTCTTATCAAAAAGAATATTCAAATAAATAAATATATAGCTTAGTTTTGATAATTAAAACGACCATGATTATTATTTAAATTTTGTTGCTGAGTATTGTTTAATAAGTTAGCTTAAGTATTTTTTAAGGGACCATATAATGGCGGCACATAACTAACAACTAAAATAAATTATTCAACAGCGACTACACTATAGCTTGTTTAATTGAATCCAACGCTATCCGATGTGGATATCTGAAAATATAATCTATTTTTAGGTTAATCTTCTATACAGAAACTCAATTTAACACTTACTATTATGATGAATATTTATGTTAATTTTTGGAAGTTTCGGAAGATGGATTTTTGGCTTGGCTTTACGTTTTGGGGCCGCCTCAGCGTTTTGCGAACAGATGAAGAGCAGCACAATGATGAGGAGCCAATAGAACTTGAAGTATTTCATGCTGATAAATATATATTCCGATGGTAGTGTTGTTGAGCAGAGAGTTTAATTACGACTGAAGCTATAGCGGGGACGGCTCTTAAATAAGTAGATTAATGTTGACGATACAACGAAATCCCGATGATCATGACATCAGTGTGGCTCTTATCAGCTTGGATTTTACCATAGTCATAGCTCAGCTAGTCGTTGAATGGAAAAGTGAACCCCCGGCATCTCTATGAAAAACCCAAAACAGCTGAACCGGCGCTGCTATGATCATTCATAAGTCATTATAAAACTGAGGCGATGTCGTAGAATTAAAACAACGTGGAATGCTAAAATTTTAAATACAAATACCATTTAAGAAGGGTTAATGAGTGGACTCAATTAATAAATAAAACATCTTGTTATTGTGGTATATAAATGTTTATTTTATATTGTTTTGTGGTAAAGCAGGCAAACTAAAAATATTTCACAGTATTTTTGTAGGTGTTGTTGTTCTTTCTGGGAAACCACCTGAAATCAATGAAATATGTTGTCTTGAAATTGTTCAACTCACCTATGGATTGGATTGGATTGGATTCTATCAACGGGCGTGTTTTCCTCAATAAAATGGAAAGTAAAATATGGTAAGCCCTTAACCCATTGTCACCCCAAAACACTCCATAACTACTCGAACATAAACATGCATAAATTGCATTATAAGCGACCCAAACAAAGCATTACAATCGGATCCCCTCGAAGCAGCCATAACTATTCATTATCGACGCATAAACGACCCTTTGAGCACTCATAACTTCAAATTTTTATTAAATAAACAGAACAAAGCAATGGCCGGAAAAATGTCACACACTATGCTATACCATATATATGGCGAAGAAAGGGATGTGTATGTGCCATATCCTTCTGACCCACTAAATTGAATCTGCGAATTGCAGGAGAACCCTTTCCCTTCCCTTCAAATCCCTCCCTCATCCGGCGTAATTCAATATTTGACTAGATGAGATTTATGGCCACAGGGCGCAGAGACTTCCTGCGAGGCATCCTTTCGCTATATTTGTGCAAAGTATAATTTTTGATTTAGTGCGATTTGTGTCAACGGGTTGTGCAGCCCAATAGTTTGGCAATATCGCATAAGTGAAAGTTTTGCCGGTTTTTGTTTGCTTTTCCAACGGATATGAGACCGCATGCTGATTGTCAATCTGAAGTGAAGGGTGGATGGAGTTGGAGGTGGCAAAAGTCTACCCCCTTTTCAAGTCGGAAACGGATGTTCTGCCAACGGAATTCGCATAAAACTTTACTATTATGTTGAATATTTTGGCGAAAATTGAATCGCGTGGCTGCAGCAGCAAATTGCTTTGTTCGCCAAATCGCGAGGGAATCGGAGGATCTACGAGGGTGACTGTACAGCAGGTACAGCATTCAGAATTCAGGATGCTAAGGATGATAAGGCTGAATGGCAGCAGGCCAATTTGCCGCCAGAATTTGCATAGCCAGCCGTCGAAAAAAGGGTTGTTTTGCACGACCGGAAAGGCGCGACAAGCGAATTTATTACAGGTTGCATTAGATTTAATTATCGAGAGGAGCGTGTACGGAAAAGTTAATATTCAAAACACCCAAGAGATCTCAAGTGTCACAGTATAGCTTGATTTTAGAGGCACATATTTCCCCCAACATCATCCTTTGGGTATTCCATTTATGGATGAGTTTACTATGTATCGATGCCAATCCTAACGTGCCTTAAAAAAATTATAATGATATGCGACACTTTGAAGAGAGATAGATTTTTAGTTTTTTAGTGAAAAAACCTGAATACATGATAGTATAATAATAAAATTTAAAAACCATCTGAAAGCAAACATGATAAAAACATGTTTAGCTTTTGGGAATATAGAACTATTATTCTATAAATTCCAAACCAAAAGATACTAACTGACAAAGTTTTGATTATGGTTACCCTTGAATGTCTATTTATGTAACCAGTGTTTTTGTACCACATGCTGTAAGCCAAGTCAATGTGATCCATTTGAGTAACCAGTGTTACGGTATTTATGTGTTTTGACTTAATTTCTCCTTAAAACTTTGAATCCCTTAGTGTAACCAGTGTTACTGTATCAAATGCTGTAAGCAAAATCATTGTAAATAGTGAGTAGTCAATATTGAAGTTGGTGGAAGTGGAAGTTGAAAGAGTCCTGTATAAATTTCTACTCATTAAAAACTCTAAATACCTCTTTTTATCGAGATCTCAATAGAAATTTACCGATCTCTGCTGAACTTTTTTGAAATGAAATTCCTGAAAATAAAGCTCGTTAGTAGATAATATTTGTAGGTAGCATCAAATTAAAAAAAAAATAAATAAAATGGAAAAAAACTAACTAAAAACCGTAATGGATCAAACCGAAAAAGAATTTAATTTAAATTAAGAACAACATATTAGAATTTACTACGTTTTTTCTACCAGTGAACTTACATGATTTGTTTTGGACCCATTTTCTTTAGTTATCTCCATGCCATGGTGGTCGTCCGGTCAACAATCTATCTGTTCCAGTCCAAAACCCAGGTCCAAAAAAGTTTGAAGGATTAGGTGGACCATACCTGAAGTTTGGTGGTTGATCCCATCGGGTCCATGGATTATCGTAGAAATTCCATGGGCCATAACAATTGTTCCATGGACCATTATTATAGTTCCGTGGTCCGTAATTTCTCATTACTGGTTCTTCAACTACAGGCGCAGCACTTTGGATTGAAGGAACTTTCTCCGGGGTTTGGCGTTCGGTTGATGTTTTTTCTTTTGCTGTTATCAATTTGTTACGATCTGTCAATCCTTTCATACTCAGTTTTAAACGCCCAAATCGGAAGGAGATTATTCCATCTAGCTCCACCAGTTTCTTCTGCGATTCATTGTCAACTGCCATGACAAGGAGCAAAAGTTCTCCATGAATAAGCCTATTGATAACCCTCCATTCCTTGGTGGACACCGGATTTTGAGCCTCTATAATATCCAGGACCTTTTTATTGGTGGTCGATAGGCTGTCTGGAAAGTAGCCACGGATCACATTTTTCCTCGGCAGTTCCTCCTCTGTCATTAGCTTGAGTTTAAGGGCTACTTTCGTCTGGATGTGACATAAATTGCTAATGAGCCACTGGGCTGTGGAGAAGTTGGCACAGATAACCATGAGCCAACCCCTTCGAGCCACACATGCTTCGAACTGGGGCATTTCGCTACCTGAATGCTCCACGGTGACATCAATGATGGCCTCCTTTATCCTGGACATTTGATCGGTTGTGAGGAGAGTCCCATCAGACTCCGAGGCAAAACCGAGTCTTACACTTTTATCTAAACTAGAGTTGGGTCTATTGGTCGGGTTTACTATCTCTTTAATTCTACAAGGAGCTCGTAAAAGTCCTCTAACAACAGGAGTAGCTTGTACTATTCTTAAAGCCTTTGCCCTGCTTATGCCTTCACGAAGAGCCTTTCTCAGTAATTTTTTCTGCTTGGTTTTCAGCCTGACAAAACCAGGACCCGAATCCACTTCAGGATTCTGGATTGGTGATACTTTGGGAGCAGCATCTGACTCTGAAACTATAAAACTATTCATTTGATTCCCACGAGTGCACGGGAAAGGAGGTCGCCCACGCCAGAGCCCGAGGTGCCGCAGGAAGTCTGGATTGAAACTGCGGGTCGACAGGTGCGCAGAGTTCGCCCACTAAGAACCGAGCTCCCCCTCGGCCACGCATCCTTCGACGCCGGCTGTTCCGTCTTGGATTGGGGTGATCTTCAAGAGTTGTCTTCTCTGCGCCCGACTACCATTCGCCAGCATCCCTCGGCAGAGACATGACCTTGCCGAAGGACCTGTTTCCAGCCGCCCTCACGTGGAGAGTGTAGTCGCACTTCCGGGTGTACAGACAGTTACGGCACGTCCACTTGGGAACTAAGTCCTGGATGGTACGCGTTGATCCCCCTGTCCATCACCCAGCTGACGGCCATCATATGCATGGGTTAAACTAAATATGTCTTTGTAATTGGACCTTTTAGTAAGGTAATTATGGTCTTATTCAGTCAGGCCCCTTAAAAATACTGGCTAGTTGGCTGATATATGAACAATTGTTTGTTGTCTAACTTTAAACAAAAAAAATGTTTAAGGCTTCAATCAAATAACTAAAATTGCGTTAAAAATTTGAAAATATGTTTCAAACGAAAATAGTTTTTAAAAACAATTTATTTAAATTAGGATTAAGGAGAGCCTACTCTAAAAATAAACGTATCTTCATTCGCCTGAAGGAAAGACCAAATAACCAATGGAACAATACTAAGTTTAGTGTCAAAGTGGTCCTTGAGGTGTTCAGATTCTGCTGAGTTCAATGGAGATATAATCGCCACTCAGAGGATGTGAAAGTGTTCCATGCGTGGTTTATTTGTCCTTTGACTCACTTAGCGTCGCTTCATCTCCTCGATTTGTTTCAGGAGCAACTGCATCCGATCCTTCATTAAAGGCTGCCCTTTTTGGGTTTTCTTGCTGATGGCCTTGGTTTTCTCCAAGCGCTTGTGTTTATAGGCTTTTATTCGTGCGTCCCGTTCCGCCCGCACTTTCTCCCTTTCCGCCGCCTCCTGGGAAGCTTTCTCCTGGCGTTTCAAGTTCCGGATCTCGGGTTTATTGGGCTTATCCTGAAAATATTGGAAAAAACATGTGTGTATACCTACTGAGCAAATGTACTTCGATTTTTCACTTACCGTCTTTGGCTTTTGCTTGTTTTTGTTTTTAAAATACGGCTTTTGAGTGTGGGCCACCTTGCCAGGACCTTTGCTAGGTCTTCCATTGGGTTTTCCTTGAGTTTTCTGGGATCTTGGTTTCATTTTTGTGTTTTTAATAATTTAAGGCAGCAGAGCGATAGAGGTGGAGAAACATTGGTTTCCCATCTCTAATATGCTACCTGCGGAGGGTATCGATATATCGATTGCCAAACACATGTTACAAACGCACATTAAACAACACTGAACAAAGACTGTTGTTTTTTGGGATACAAATAAAAAATGCTGAAATTAGGTAAATTTCTGGCGCAAAATGGTGAGTTAAAAAGTCGGAATATGCATTAAAATTTTACTAAATATGAGTATTTTAGCCACGGTGGTCAATCTAGTGGGCAGACAGCAATTGGGCGCCACCAGCCGTTTTTATTCGGCCTCCCCTAAATCTGCCGACTCGGATCTTCCAATTGACATAACGAATCCTTATGAAAAGGACCCCCAACAGTGCATCCTGTGCAAGCACAGCATTGAACCGCACTACAAGAATGTGAAACTCCTTTCGCAATTCCAATCCCCGTACACAGGCCGCATTTATGGGCGTCACATCACCGGATTATGCAAGCGCCGGCAGGAGCAAGTGGAGCAGGCCATCCTCCGGGCACAGCAGTGTTTGCTGATGCCAGGCTATCACAAGGACCTCGATTTCCTGCAGGACCCCAAGCTCTTTGATCCCGAGAGGCCCGTGCGCCCACACAAGTACTAGTTTGTCTTTCAGTTTGAGTTTCCCTTCTTTTTTTGCAATGGAAATAGAGTTTCTTAATGTTATATCTTATGGAAAACTATGTTTAACTCAAGTTATTCCTCCTCTAGGTAGCGCAGCATGCCAAGGGGAATACCCAGTTGGGCGAGGAGGTCATTTTTCGAGAGTCCTGGTTCCACCATCGTTAGAAGATCATCCACAGAAGCTATAAATGCCTGGCGCCAGATTTCTATATCACACTTGAGCTCTGTGATTTTGCTACTTTTTGGACTATCCTGCAGCTCACTTTGCTTAAGATCCTGTTTCTCGTCCAGGTCCACATTATCCTCCACCTGCATTATCCTGCATTCCTCTTGAGAACCCTTCTTCCTTTTATTCGACTTGGTAGCTTCCTTTTTTGACGTTTTCTTCACATTCTGCTGCTCCTCATCTTTGAATTCTTGCGCCACAGCAAACTCTAGCTTCTTTTTGGTCAACTCTGTTCGGTTTTTAGACAATCCTATTCTGCGGGCGCTCAGTGATAAAGCCAAAGTTTTCGGAGTCTCCACATTTTCATTTTTAGGTGTATTTACAGAAGATTCCTGTTTTTGGAGTCTCTTTAAAGGCGAGGATTGACAACCACGCCTACCCAATCCAAGTCGCGGTCTACGACCGGACTGGGGCGTGATATTTGCATGCCCGGACATCTAAATTCCATAAATATGACGAAATTTGTATGTTTTGAAATGCCCATAAAAAACCCGGAATGAAAACAGCTGGTTATCCACTTGCGCTATCGTTATCGATAGCACAGAAAAAATCGACATATTTGAAATATGCCGACAGGGGCGCCACTAAATAATCAGCACTAAATGTAGATAATTCAAAATCAAATGTAAAATATTAATTATAAAAATTTATTGAAGAAAAGCCTATTATAATTATTAGTTCTAAAAAATATTAAAATAAGGTTAAGAATTGGAAATTTAAAGAGCTCCATTGCAAAACCAAATCAATGTCGTATAAGATAGTTTTTATTGAGAGGTAATAAAGTAAATTAAACACAATAAAAAGTATAATAATAATAAAACACAGCTTATTGTGCTGCAAAGTAAGCGATACAAATAAATAATTGCATTTAATATATACTCAATAGAAATTTAATATATACTCGAGAAATTGAACAAAAAGTATATATAACAAAATTTTGACTTGAATTAAAATGTATAATTTAAACTAAGCAAAAATGAATATTATAAATTTGCTGACATCGCCACTCTCCATTAATTCCACAATCGACTTTAGTTTTTATTGTACTTTATTCTAGGTATAATTGGTATGAATATATAAACTCGCGCTGTTCGGTCCTGTCTTTTGGGGACTGTATATAAAGTGTCTACAAAAACTATGCGCGCACTCTCTATATGCTAATCGGTAATCCGTAATCTGCTCTATGACTAAACGTGACCTGATACTGATACATACTGCCGAATCGGGAAAGACTCGCGCGTGTACACATTTGGCTTCTCTGCGACCAGACCGACTCTGATATGACTATAAACTAACGTAGACGAGGCCTAGGGGCTAAAGCGATTGACTGGCTTACAAACTGAACAAAAGGGGGGGGATGATGACCAAACTTATTGCAACGATCGACTTTAGGGCGCCGATCGGGAAAAGTACGGGGAAGCTCTTAAGGATCCAGCTTGTGGTACCGCTCCACGTCGGCGCCGCGAAAGAAGACCTTGCAGACGCACTGCTGATCGCGCGAGAGGAGAACCAGGCATTCCCGGCAGACCAGATGGCGACAGGTGCGTATCTCGTAGCCAAACTGGGCGCTCCTGCAGTTTATGCAACTGGCAGGAGCACCACCAGCTGATCCCGATCCCGCGCTGGAGTTTGCTGCCAGCTGGCTGAAGCGCGTGACCTTCTGCAGCGCCTGCTGGATGGCCTGATCGATGGAGGTTGTGGCCGAGGTCACGGTGGCGCAGGCGCTGCCATGGTGGCTGTGCCTTGCCCTCTTGGCCGCCGGCGGCGAGTGTGGGGAGCCCCCAAAGGATGCCGCTGTCGAGGAGGATGTGGCCGTGGCGGTGGCCCTGCTCTTCCGCTGCTGCTGCTTGTAGGCGTTGCTTAGTGCTGAATAGGTCCCGGCAGCCGGACTGAACTGTCCCGGCTGGCAAGTGCTGCTGGCGAACTGAGAGGCATGGCGGCGTCGCAGGCGGGATGTGCCCAACGAACGCGGCACCGCCTTAAAGTGCTCCGAGTGCTCCATGAGGAACTTCTCTATGCGCGCTTTTAGGGCCAGGTTTAGGATCGCCTTGCGCTGCAAATTGTACTCCAGGCCTGTGAACGGATCCGAGGGTTGGCGACCCCACTTGGTCTCCTCCTCGGCGTGCTTGTCAATGGTGGACTGGTCCACCACTTTTCCAGAGGGCAGCACGGTGGGAAAGATCTGGATAGAGGAGATGAAGCATTAGAAGATTGATAAAAGACACTAGCCTAGGGAGAGCTACAGAACTACTACTAAATAAAATACCTTACATTTAATATAGAAAAAGGTTCAACCACAATATTTTATATCATATCTTTAAATGAATCATGTTGCTAACTGATATTTCTTGCTTTAATGAATGACGACTTTAATATTACCCTGGTAAGATATTGATAATGAAACGATTTCAACATTTGGGACAATGATTAAGAAAAATTATAAAGAATTATATGTGTGTTCAGACAAAATCACACTTTCTACCATGTGACTTTAAGCAATATAATGAGGATTCAGTCAGATTAAAAAAAATATATATAAAGTCAACAAATATTTTTACTTAAAATGACCTATTTTAACAACATTTTATAGCCTAGAAAACAAAGGCAACATTTGGGACAATGATTCAGAAAAATTATAAAGAATTATATGTGTGTTCAGACAAAATCACACTTTCTACCATGTGACTTTAAGCAATATAATGAGGATTCAGTCAGATTAAAAAAAATATATATAAAGTCAACAAATATTTTTACTTAAAATGACCTATTTTAACAACATTTTATAGCCTAGAAAACAAAGGCAATGTTTTCGTTTTAATTGTACATGATTTATGCGAAATTAAATTGACCTTGCAATGCACTTCTTGCGGAAGTGGATTCGACAAAATGGCTGACGCTGATTCATGGTTATGCATTCAGTCGCATAAGACTATGTGGCACTTGTGGCACACAAACTGATAGAATCAATAACTCAAGAAGCAAGGAAGTTCCTCCTGCTCGCCTGCAAGGATGTGTTAAACTCAAAGGACTTAGTTACCATTAGCTCCCAGGTGATGGAGTCGAGGAACTCCTCGGGAATGGAGAGTGTGGACTGCTCCCTCAGCTCTGGAACATGTCGCGGTGGTGACCTCTGACCCGTGGGCGTCTGGGCGGCATCCCTCTGCCCGTAAGGATCACTAATCTCGCTCCAAATGCTCTTGACTAGCTCACGATCCGCTTTGTCCAGGGAACGGGCAGGTAAGCCCCACATTTGCACTTTGCGTAGAACGGGAGGACATCTCTCAGTGGCCCGGATCACCACTTTCACGCTATTGGTGCTGGCCAGGATCTTGTGGGCAGACTTGAAGAAGAACACCTTCTCGCTCTGCTCGGAATTGGAGCTGCTGCGCGAATTGTAGTCGCTTTGGTAGCAGAAGGTCACTGAATCCACGCCGCGTCCCAAGTCCCGGACGAAGGCGACTCGCTCCCAGATGCCATCATGTCGTCCGTGGAGTTCAAAGGCGGTGGATCTTAGGGCTCCGCAGGAGGGCCACAGCTTGATGACCTTCATGTCCACCGCCTTGGGAAAGTCGAACACGATTTCAATGGGTGGCTTGCACACGGCAAAGCACATGAATCCGCGTTCCAGCTGCTCGACATCGTCCGCTATGAGATTGGCTGCAGTGTATCCATCCTCGCAGACCGCATCGCTCTCCACGGAGGGCTTTAGTTTCGGATTGAGGAAGTTGATCAGGCTGCTCATTCTGGCTGACTGGCTGGCTGGCTGCTTTTTCCAAGGGCTATTACACGGGTTTATCTCGTATATCTTTTGTGTGTGCCCCACCTGCTCGTTATTCGCACAGAAAATGGCGTCACTTCTCGGGAGTCTTTTGTTGTTGCCTCTGGCCCTGAACTCTGCTAATCCTGCCTCGCAAATCCTTCTGCTAATCCTGTGCTGCGCTGCTTCCAGTTCTCTGCTGCCGATCCCGAACACCTCACAGCCTGTCCTGGACTCCGGCTGGCATTTTATGACGCTGCAATGGTGACAATTATCGCCCTGCCTTTTGGAATATTTATAAATCACTCGTTTGGGGGGGGGCAGTGTGACCGTGCGCAGGGTGAGACAGTGGGACCAGGCAGGGTGGCCGGATAAGGCTGGTGTTTGCCGGGTACTCGAGCATGGTCACACTCTCTCCCTGAAGCGCCATAAAAATTTCATTTAAAACGTAAAGTACATAAATTTATATATTTACTTAAGTTAACTTAAAGGTTTTTGACTGTTTAAGATTATTATTAATTTTAATATTGACTTACTAACTTGTATATATTCAATTAACTGGTAAACATGGTATCTTTTAAATGGTGAATTTAATTTCAAACAATAATAGTTTAGCTGTACATTAAACATTATTTAAAATGTTTTTTTTATCTACCACAAATTAAGCAGGTTATGTGGAATTAAAATCCTTATTTTCCTTTATTAAAAATATCAAACTGAATTAACCAAATAGGTATAATAAAATTTCAACTTTGTAAATTTCTTAAATTTTTAAAGCAAACTTTTCAAACACTTAAATACCAACCATAATAGTTATTAAGAGTTAGCATTTTTGATTAAGAATGCCAACGTCCTAATCTTGCATACCTAAATTAGTAAAAATTATATAAAAATTATATGATAAGGTGTGTTTTCTTCTGCGAAAACACTTGCTCATTTTAAATTGTCCTGATAATTAGTTTTCAAAACGAGGTTAAAAAGTAGGTACGGAAAGAACACACTGATCCTTAATCGGCAGCTTAATAGAATATTAGAAATCCAAGAACTGACTCTGCCGATTTATGGTGAGTTGCCGAATTAGCCGTATTTACGATGTGTTAATAAGATGTGTTACTAAGAATTTGGCAATCTGCCCCACCGAAGGCAGATTATGGCCACTTCTAAAAGCTCCAATATTGGTGATTAGGCTAATCTCTTTGGTGGATGGGTTTTTCCGCTCTTGTCAATGGATTGGCCAGCTGGTGGAGAGATAACCCTAGGCTATAAGTGGCCCCACCGACGATGGTTACGCTCCAGTTGCCCTGCGAACCATGAGGGGAATCGGAATTCTGCTGTCGGTGGCTTTGACCTGCGGGTTCCTGGTGGTTTCCGCCGTAAACCTGCCCGGAGTGCCCGTCGACTTTGATGTGGACGACAAGATCCTGTCCGCCATCGCGGATGACATATCCGAGCGTCTGGCCACGGAGTACATAACCTTTTTGAAGACCGGAGTTGAGACCCCAGAGTTCCTGAAGCTCACCAATCAGCTGGCCAAGTCGCACAGTCCCAGGGATATATTCACAAAGAATATGCCCGATCTGGAGCCCAGGGATAGCTTCTTTATGTGCGTGGCCTGTCGATCGGTGATGCGGGTGCTCATCCGCACCATTCGCGAGGAGGAGGGCGAACTTCACGGGGAGAATAGCTCCGCCCTGATGAAGGACTTTGCCATGGATGTGTGCCGCCGACTGAACCTGCAAACGGATGAGGTCTGCAAGGGCTTTATCGACTCCAATCAGCCGACCGTGGAGTACATTATGCGGAATTCGGAGAGCGATTCCCAGAGCTTCTGCTCCCTGTTCATGGAGTATAGCTTCTGCAACACCGGTTCCAATGAGGCTTACAACTGGACCTTGACTGTGGATAATTCTGGAGCGGCTTTGAGTGGACCCAAGTCCGACACTCCTCGCTACAGCGAGGATGACATCAGGATCTGCCAGTTCTCCGACATTCACCACGATCCCCTGTACGTTCCCGGCAGTCTGGCCACCTGTGCGGAACCCATGTGCTGCCAGAGGCACAAGGATACGGCTGAGGGCACAAGTGAGGCGGCTGGCTACTGGGGTGACTACAGGGACTGCGATCTGCCCTGGCATGCCTTTGAATCTGCCCTGGATAGCGCAGTGGCCAACTCGAAGTGCGATTATGTGTACCAGACTGGAGACATTGTCGACCATATGGGGTGGTCCACTTCCGTGGAGAAGAATACTGATGTCCTGACCAAGGTCAGTCAGCGATTTAACCAGGCCTTCGGAGATGTTCCCGTCTATCCCTGCATTGGAAACCATGAGCCGCATCCCCTGAACCTGTAAGTAATCATACATTTTTATAAGCGTAGAATGTCGATTTCAAAATTGCAAATCTTATTGTAAATCTTAATCTTAGATTAGCTCAGAATTATAAGTGCTCGATTAAATCCATATCTTGAATTTTCTTTCTGGTATCAACAAATAATTTATAATGTTTTGACCGCTTTCACTACACAATCTACACCGAAAAAAAATGCAAGACTAAAAATATATATCTGACTATTAAATTTAAAGTTGTATGTTAAATATTAAAATTAAATGTGAAACCATAATGTTTAAACATTTAAACTATTGTGGAACCAATATGTTTTAAAATTAAATTAAATTTTCAGATATTTAAATCAAATTTTGAAAATAGTCAAATGAAAAATTAAAAAATGTTTTAATAATACTTAAAATAACTAAACAAATTAAAGAGAACATTTTTAATTTGATATAGAAAATATAAGGATTTGTCACGTTTTCAAAAACCAGTGTAATCACCAATCGATTTTTAAATTCCAGTTTCAGTCCCGAGGGAGTTCCAAATGAGGTCAGCACCACATGGCTGTACGAGCATTTGTACAATGACTGGTCCAAGTGGCTGCCGGTGGAAACCAAGGAGACGATCCTGAAGGGAGGATATTATACAGTGGTGCCCAAGAAGGGATTCCGTATCATCGCTCTGAACAGCAACGACTGCTACACGGACAACTTCTGGCTGTACCACAGTGGCACTGACAAGATTCCCCAGCTCCAGTGGTTCCATGACACCCTCTTGAAGGCTGAGAAGGCCGGGGAGTACGTGCATGTGCTGACCCACATCCCTTCGGGCGTTGGATCTTGCTGGTCCGTGTGGGCCCGTGAATTCAATCGCTGCATCACCCGCTTCAGCGCCACGATCAGTGGCATCTTCACAGGACACACGCACAAGGACGAGATGTTCGTTTACTATTCGGAGGACGAGGGACATGCCACTGCGGTGGCCTGGACCGGAGGTGCTGTGACCACCTACTCCAACAAGAACCCCAACTACAGGGAGTATGCCGTGAATTCCAAGACCTATACCGTGAGCAACCATTGGACCTGGATGTACAACCTGACGGCAGCCAATCTGCATCCAGATGAGCAGCCCGAGTGGTTCCTGGAGTACGAGTTCATCAAGGAGTTCACCGAGGACTTGAGTCCTGCCGGCATTGACAAGCTGCTCGACGAGTTCGCCGAGAATCCCACCTTGATGAGAAAGGTATGTTCGGATTTTCTTTAAAATATTAGCTTCGATAAGATAAAAAGAAATACCAAGTTAATGAAAAGTTTGAATTTGGTTTTGTTTTTTTTCCACCCATATAACACACATTTTTCTTTCAGTACTGGCGCTTCCGTGTGACCTCAGCTGATCCCCAGGTGAATGGAGGATGCGATCGCAACTGTTTGGCAGGATCTCTGTGCCGTGCTGCTGTGACCATCAATACTCAGCGAGGACGTTGCGAGGAACTCCGGGCAAAGCTGTTTGCCTCTGTAAGTTACTTCTAATAATAGGCTTTACTATCAAAACTAACTTATAAATCTTCCCCTTCAGCTGGACAATGAGGAAAGCACCACTCCTGGTGATGATAATGACGACGAAGATGGAGGAGCCTCCACTTTGGGACTGCTCAGCATTGGCTCCTTGCTGACCATAGTCCTCTCCATCCGCCTTAGCTTCTAGAAACGCTCATCTTGTACCCCCTAAGTTATATAAGACGATTGGATTCCATTTTGAATGTGACCACTCCCAAGTGGCAAATATAAGTGTTTGCTTATCCCAATCTAAGTTAATCTTTCATGATTATTTCGGGGGGACTTTGTTTTCTTCGCGATTGCTTTATCGACTAATGCCGATTAGCGCAAATTAGCCAATTGAATCGTGCTGGCCATAAAACATGCAGTTGGCTACAGGTTTATGGCCAAGTCAATTGCTGATTCTAAACGAACGGATTAATGTAAGCACGTGCGAGAGAGTTATAATTTGGGTATGATTTACGGGGCTTCGATTAATTAGTAAATAGTAATCCTAAGTGGAAAATCATGCCATAAGCTGACTCACCTATAATTACGCTAGAAAATATGAGCCATATAAATATAGCAATAAAAAAATAAAGTAATTGGTACTTTGGTAAATTGTTTTTTTTTTTTTATTTTTTTAAGAAGTAAAATTTAAACAATTTCCTTTGAAGCGTAAAGGAAGAAAATATTATTCATATCTTTATTTAGCAAACATAGTTTTATTCAGAATTTATTTCAATTTTGCCAGAGATGGTAGTATGATAGAACTGAACATTAAATAAAATGCTTAAATAGTACCAAATGTTTTAATTGGGGTGAAAGTCGTAGCCTTTTGAGGGATGCCAATAAAAGCTACCCTTAACCGATTAGCGGGTAAAGAAATCTGCCCCCGAACATAAATTAGTATGGTCTGTTGACCGCTGGCATTTCGTTCAGGCGATATGACCGCATATGATAAGCAGCTAAACTGATTGTGATTATATTAGCCTATAAATAGGGGTCCGATTCCAATCCTGGGCCCAGTTCCGTCATGAAGTCGATCTGGAGCGCACTTATTTTGGGGATCGCTATCCTCCTCGTCGGATGTGGTGCCTTTAGTCTGCCCAATGTCCCCGATTATCTAACGAAGGAACAGCGTTCCGCAGCCATTGTCTCAGGTAAGTGCAGGTCTTCAAAATGTTTGGATAAATCTAATAATTAATCATTAATTAAGTATTATCTTTCTTTTATATCATCTCAACCAAAAAGTTCATAGAAAATTGTAAAAATCGAATTATTATAGAGTAAAATAATATGTAAGTTATCAATTTAAATAAAAAAAACAAGAGTCACCCTCTCTGTTTTGAATTTACACACACATCAATATATGAATGAACTGGTTTCGGTAGTCAGATAGTCAGTAAGTCGAAATTGATTGCAGTAGTTCCAAAGATAAGTTCCAAATGACAGCTTTGAGTGCAGATATTGACATCCGTTATTGCCTTTTTGCAGCTAGTGTGGCGGAAGAGATAAGCCGTGATTACCTGAAGTACCACCGGACTGGAATCGAAACGGAGAGACTTCAGCAACTGGGACAGGATCTGCGGAACAGTCACAGCAAAAAGGCCATTTTCACGGAATCCCTGGCTGATCTGACCTCCACGGATCAGTACTTCGTGTGCACCCTGTGCAGATCTACCATAAATGTATTTGCCAGAACTTTCACCGACGGTGAATTGAGTGGTCCTCAGAGAGATGAAGAGGCCAAGAAATTGATGTTGGGTCTGTGTGATTACTTTGGTATTACCACCCAGGAAGTGTGCTCTGGATTGTTCGATCTGAACTGGCCCATTTTCGACTTTATCCTCAACGAAACTGTGGCCGATTCGCAATCCTTCTGCGGCATGCTGCCCATTCCCATTTGCCAGGTGAAACAGGATGAGTTCAATCTTACTTTGACTATCCAGGGCGATTCACCCACCGAATCAAATGCGAATTTACCCTCCAAGAGCTCTGATGATATCCTCATTCTGCACCTCACCGATATCCATTATGATCCGGAATATGCCGTTGGCAGCAATGCGGCTTGCGATGAGCCCATGTGCTGCCGCAATCCTTTGGCCGAAGGATCTGATTCCTCGGCAGCAGCTGGCTACTGGTCCGATTACCGGGACTGCGATGCCCCCAAACATCTCATCTTGAGTGCCTTTAACCACATCAAGGACAACCACAAGATCGAGTGGATATATCACACCGGAGATGTGCCGCCCCACAATACCTGGTCCACCACCAAACAGGGAAATATGGACATGCTGTCCGAAATCGATGGACTTCTGGCCGAGCACTTTCCGAACACGCCCATCTACCCTTGCCTCGGAAATCACGAACCCCATCCAACAAACGTGTGAGTACCCGTAATTTGCAGGCCCTCAAATATTATTAACCTAATGACCCAGAAATGGAGAAAGTTCAAAGAAACTTGTCCGCAATTGGGTTGAATTGGGGTAAAAAGTACAAGTAGCTCTTGGGTTATGCTTAGTATGGAAGTAGATTCAAATGTTATTACTTACCCAAAAATAGCATTGAGGTCATGCAGATACTACGCACTTTTACTCAGGCTAACAATTAAAAGTAACAAATAATGCATACATGCATATATATGAGCTAATGGTATGTTATAAAATGTTATGCAAAAACGAATTGAGGACTTTTGTTTTTCCCGACATTATAAAGTTTATTGTAAGATTTTCCCACAGCAAAGCCAATAAAGAGCGATACGGACACTAGTAAATATTAACTACTGCTTATTAAAACAACTTTGAATAAAGGCACTACCTAGAACCTGGACTTATCTTCTGAATTTCAAAGTGTTCGACGTTTAAACGATTGTTGGACACTAATAATTTATAGAAGAAAATTGCCTTAATAATTTTGACGCACTTTCGTTTTCATCAAGTGAAATAAACCATGTTTTATCTTATATGTCATAAGTACTTGTCAAGAAAATGTTGTTACGATTTAGAAAAGATAAATTGATAATACAATTTTTGTTCATAAAATAATACATTAATTAATAACATAATGTTTGATCATAATTAAGCATTTTATGTCATTAAGGCCGTAATAAGTAGATATATTTTGATGTGTTTATTAAACAGAAGTTATGAATTTTATAGCTCGGCAGTGTTTTATACCTTTACGATATATGACTATGTTTATTAATATTTAATTCCTAGTATCTTTTATTGATTTATAAACAAACTACAATATTTATTCCATCTTATAGTTTCGGCAATGATGAGGTGCCCACAGCTTTGAAAGTTGACTGGCTGTACGAACACGTATGGAGTTTGTGGTCTAAGTGGTTGCCCGCGCAGGCGAAGGATACTGTCCTTCGAGGTGGTTATTACACTTTATCGCCGAGCGAAGGACATCGGATTGTGGCCCTGAACAGCATGGATTGCTACCTGTACAACTGGTGGCTGTTCTACAATGCCTCCTTGATTCAGGAGCAGCTGCAGTGGTTCCACGATACTCTTTTATTTGCAGAGCAGAATGGTGAATCGGTCCACATCCTCACCCATATTCCCGCTGGCGATGGTGATTGCTGGAGCAGTTGGTCCAAGGAATACAACAGGGTGCTGACTCGTTTCAATGGCATCATAACTGGAGTGTTCAGTGGTCACACCCACAAGGACGAGATGAACCTCCATTACTCCGAGGAGGGTTATGCCACGGTGGTCAACTGGAATGGTGGTAGTTTGACCTCGTATTCAAACAAGAATCCCAACTACCGGCTGTATGAACTTAATCCTAATAACTGGCAGGTGCTGGAGCACTTTACCTACAAGTTCAATCTGACGGAGGCAAATCTGAAACCCGATGAGCAGCCCCAATGGGAATTGGAGTACCAGTTTACCAAGGAATACACAGAGAATACTAGTCCTGCGGGCATCGATCGTCTGTTGGTGGAAATGGCTGAGAAACCTGATTTGCTGAGAAAGTTCTGGCGGAATAAGTTCACTAACTCGGATCCCAAATTGGCAGAGGGTTGCGATAATAGTTGTCTGAGTAAGACAATTTGTAGGATTGCCACTAGTAATTACCAGGAAAGGACTCGTTGCAAGGAGCTGCAGGCTATTCTAGAGGAGAGTGTAAGTTAAATACAAGATTTCCTATTAAACTTACCTCTAATCTATAATCCTTTCAGCTGGAAAAAGAACCAGGAACGGATACAGATGATAATGGTGATGGAGGTGCTTCCGGATTGACTGCCATTAATTTGGCCACTTTGCTGGCAGTCATGACTGCATTGAAAGTCCTTGGATAAGTCTTATCAATGCCCCCCGTCTATTCTTAAACCATATGATTAAAAGCGATAATCAAGCTCATAAAACGGACTATAAAACTACTAAAGAACAACCCGAAACCCCTGGAGATAAATATAAACGAACAATAAACACACACGATTCTTGTAGTCAACACTCAGAATGTTCGATATACATGTATATATATATGTGTTACCTAAGATGCCTCTCGGGTAGCGAATACTTTGCGAATTAGCTGGATTAAGTTAAGAGTTAAGTTTTAAGCACTACGATGGAGTCCGGGGAGGTGTCGTCCGCTGCTCTGGATTCGTTTACCTTTTTTTTTTTTTACAAACATATACATTTTCGGACAGAGTCCCGCTCGCCACTTAGAGCGCACAGATGAGCGTGGCGATGTCGATGTCCTGCTCCTCGGCCTTCCGCAGGACGATGGCCGCCTGGTTCTGGTACCTCCCGGATGAAACCAGTCGCACGGTGCTCACCCCGCAGAACATCGCCTGCTCCGGTCCCAACTCGCTGGAGGCTCCGCACACGGCACTGGCCTGCTCCATGCCGATGGAGTCCAGGCCAGCAGATCCTCCGATCTCCAGGCGATCGCTGGGCAATTGACACTAGGTGGGGGTTAGGGAAATTAGCTGGGCGCCTAGGGAAACTCAGGAATATACCCACATCGTAGTTGACCTTTTGCTGGGCCCTCACACTCTTTCCGCCAATCCGCAAACTGGCCAAGGAAACCACGGCCGGAAAAAGCGCTGAGATGGTACAGTTGCGAGCCTGGCCATAGTTGGTCATCTTGTACATAGCAGCCGTGTCCTGGACCAAAACATTGCAGGCTGAAATTATAAGAAAAAGAGAAAATGAAAACTTGAGATTTGATATCCTTGATTAAACTGTTCAATTATACCTAAATAAAAATAAAGTAAAGTTGTCGATAATAAATTGATTTTGTAAGGAAA